ATCTCCTAGGATATCTTGTTGATACTAAATCTATGTCTATATTATGCTCACAGACTGTGAAAGTTAAATATATTTTTCTATATCTAAATATAATAAAGATCATGATAAAGAATAATTGTAGGAATTTTTTTTTTATAAAGAAAGCTTTCGATTACTCCATTGCACAGAAAGGTAAAATGAGTAAAGTAAGCTCTAAAAGGAACTCAAAGAATGATCTGTTTTAATTGGGCAGAGCAAATGTGACCAACGATTTATACATGATATATATTTCTAAGAGAGTACTTAAATACAGCCCCATGCAATATTTTGTAAACTTTTATATGTTCTGTGCATATATCTTGCTTAAATACCAAATTTCTAATCATTACTTTAATCCATAAGAATGAGTAACCAAATTGTAAAGTCAGCAGGAGTACTGCATCTGAAGATAATTGTAGATTCAGTGAGAGAGGCAGAAAGAATAGCCAACAGTTCCATTCTAGGTAATGGCCATCTAGTAATGAGTCCTCAGGAGTGGTTTCTTTCCAGATCAGAAATAGTACAGGGCTGCATTATTGCCCTTCTTAAATAACTTTCACGACTGAAATTGAGCACTTGCTTTGCATATGAAATGAGAAACTCAACAAATGATGGAACACAAACATCTGCATACACAATGTTAACAATTATCCAGTCTTTAAATCTTTAAACATTAACTTTTCATTCTGCATCATTTTACTTGTTACTTTTTTTTTCCTTTCATAATACATCTGACTCATTTAAAATATCCATGAGAATAGTTAAAATGGAATAGTTTTAAGAATACAACTGTATATCTTTTGATAATTTCATTAAAGTTGAACCATATGAAATTGATGCTGTATGACATGTTTTGATTATAAAATGGCAATTTCACATGGTCCAATCTAGTATATATGCTTATGGTATTCAATATACTTATAAGCCTTAGTAATCAAAAACTCTCAAATATTTTTTCCTAGGGAAACTTCATAAGGGGGACCAAAATATTAAACTAAGTAAAATGATGCTTGAAAAATCACTTAAACTTGATGGAATATAAATATGGGATAGCTGATGGAATAAGAAAATGAAATTACATACTCATATAAACAAAATTAAAGTCAAGGTATTAAAACCATACTTGGTTAAAATGCAGTGTTGAAGAATTAATAACCAAAAAATAAACCCTCAATAACTAAGGTAGTCTTAAGCTTGAAAATATTGTGATTAAAATTGAATTTGTAAATACTATTTTTTTTGCATTTTTTACATATCCAACCATGTACAAAGCATATTATGGTTACTTCAATAATCTGTTAGGAAAATGTTCAACTTTTGCTAATATCTGACAACTGCATTGCCTAGGGGTTTGATGTATAGACTTCTCAGTATTATATGTCACATCAAGCCTAGAAACATACCTCATTGTGTACAGTAGAGTCCCGTCATCTTGGATTCGAAGCAGTTTATTTGGCATTGTCATATTATGAGCTACTGACTTTTTGCCATTGTGAAAGAAGGTATCTGGAGTCCAAATTTTGCTAGCCATTAAATTGTTAAGTCGAAGGATATTCATAGGTCCTTTAAATTTCAACCGTTCATCTTTCCATTTTTGTCGAAAGAAAACATCTATAGTGTATTCCTGAAATACAAAATACCATTCTTTGAAGACAACAAAATTTTAGATATAACAGGACCCTACAAAATTCCAACCAAAATAATGTTCTAAATAGTTCACAGAGAGCTATGGTGAGAGAAGTAAATTTTACCTCCAAAGGATTACACCTTTAGCTTGTCAATAAATGTTGCCAGTTAGAATGGGATAGAATATATGTATTTATATACTTAGCTACATAGTCATTTGAAAAGAAAAGAAGAAATTGACTGTGTCTGGCCTCTTTCAATTGAACAACTTCTCAGACAAACTGCTTTACTGCATCTAATAGTTTAAAACTTCTTGAAGAAGGCATATGCTCGGACAGGGTCTGGGTAGGATGTTTTCATTAGATTAGCCCAAGAAAAAATGAGCAGGTAGACTTCTAGGAGAAAAAATTAATAAATAAGAAGAAAGGAGGAAGGGGGAGAAAGAGAAAGGAAAAGAAATGACTTTTAAGCATACTGACAGAACTGTGTGAGTCATCATTTCCTGTTGCCAAAGAAACTGTAGAATAGCATATTTCATTTGTAATAAAATACAGTGGGATATCATATTGTTAACAAGAATGTGATAGGGAATGATTTCAATAAAGTTTATTTGTGAAATTAGTTTTAACACAAGTACTTTACAAGTTATTGGACCCCGAAATATGAATATTTTGTAGTAGATATTCTCAGGTTAAAATGTACTTTCAAATATTCATTGAGACTAACTAGTGATCAATTTCTCTATTATCATCCCCTAGTCCTTTAATTTAGATGAACCTCTCTCTCTCTTCCTCTTTTCTTTCCTATTACTATCTTTTCCTCCCACTTTCTTAAGAGAATGTATGAATGATAGATGAAATACACAATTCACAATTGTGATTGACACTAACAATCTATTGGATGTTAAAATTTTTGCCAATGTATGTTTGTACATTTACATTTTAAATAATTAAAATGTTCAATTATACACCTGAGATTGGAAATTCCCAAACTATCCTTTGAGCACAAAACCAGTTATCACATATTTGGAAATAAATATCCTAGCAATTGAGAATTTCACTTAACTGATTTTTTTAAAAGACAGATTAAAAGAGCCATATGATGAAAACATCATATCAGTTACAGAAATTTGAATCAGGTGATGATTTTCAATGATTCATCAAAATTTGAATGGGTGATGATAAAAGCAAAGTATCAACCACAGATAATGAGTAGGAGATGAACAGTGCACTCTCTGGGCTATGCCCTTAATCCTGAAGGAAAATTTAATAATCTAATCTATCCTCTCTTCATGGTATGCTTATTTACTTTTTAATTTTTAATTCCATTTAAATGGAAGCAAAAGACGAAGAAAAAGATGAAAAGATAATGCTTTGTACTAGAAGTTTTCATTCAAGTATTTCTTTTCAACAGTGGTCCCTCAAATTTTAGCCTAAACTAAATAAAAGTGGTGTTATTTTTTCCAGGAAAGCTGAAGATGTTTTAAAACTATTTATAAAACCTGAAATTCAATTTTTCTACTTCTGTAAAAGTAGAGTAAGTTTTATCTGTTTCTGAAGCTACTGATGTGGCAATCATTTCCGGGAGATCTACCACATAGGACATTCTTGAAGTTTTCAAACAAAAAAGTTTCAGGCGATCTTTTTCTAAAACTTGTTTTCAGGAGCAATATCTATCTTTGAATCCTCACAATGTCCCACGTGAGCCCTGTCAATCTATTGATGTGATCAGTACCTTTTAATTACACTCCCACTAGGCAAACTCATGTTACCCTTTGGCCAACTTTAGCAGTCCTCCCTGCTTGTCATTCCTTCAATACAGCAAGCCGTCCACCTGCCTGCACCAGGAACTCTACTCACAACCACACCCCCATTGCTTCACCTGGAGTCAGTGGTGGGGGGTGGACTTTGCATATATATATAAATATAATATATTATATAAATATATGTAATATATATATATATATATATATATATATATATATAATATATATTTAACAGCAGAATGCATTACAATTCTTATTTACATATATAGAGCACAATTTTTCATATCTCTGGTTGTATACATAGTATATTCACACCAATTCGTGTCTTCATACCTGTACTTTGGATACTAATAATCATCACATTCCACCATCTTTAATTACCCCATGCCCCCTCCCTTCCCCTCCAACCCTTGAGAGGGAGTATGGGAGGAAGGGGATTTTGTACTTTTATAAAGCTCTCCCCTACTGTGATGTGGTTTTTATTGCAATTATATATTTGCTCCTCTACTGCCCAACTACCTGGCAAATATTTAAGAAAGGAACACTTCTTTCACTTGTACTCTATTTCATTTCATTTTCAGAAACATAAAAGAACATAAAGATTATTACACAAAGCTTGCAACCATCACCTAATTGAAATATCACAAAGTCTGGAACCCTCCTTCCTCTATTCCTTCCCCCCTACTCCCTGAGGAAAGAATTATCTTGAATTTGGTGTATACCATTCCCATACTTACACTTACAAATTTACAATATAAATAAATGTACTAAGTGTCACATGTAAGCATTTATTAAATGGTATCTTACTGTGTTGATTTTTCTGATATTTGCCATTTTTTGGTACTTTGTTAAGGCTTATTCATTGCAACATATCCAGCCCTTGGCTTCAGTTTCATTGTATATAACATTGTATTGGAAGGCTATCTCACTAGAGAGTTGTGTTTTCCTTGTCTTTCAATATTTCCTCTGTTTCCAGCTTATCACTGTCAAAAGGAATATTGTTGTGAATATTCCCCTTCAACAATTCAACTACAAAGGTAGTAGACTTACTCTAGACCAGAGCAGCAATCTTTTTCCATAAGTAGCTAGTTAATAAATGCTTTGGAATCTGTGGGCCTGTGATCAGTATCACAACTATTCAATTCTGCTATTCTAGTGTGAAAGCAACCAGACAACAGGACCGCAGTGAGTCAGCATGGCCACGTTCCAATAAAACTGTTTAAAAAATAACCAACTGACAAATTCAAGAATGCTGAAGGCTATTGAAAGCTCAGGACTAGAGTTGTGCAGAAGCCAGAATGTAATGAGTTGAGGAACAAACAGGGTGCAAGTGGATGAAGAGTAAAGTACTGTCCTTATTCCTGAATTTGCAAATGCCAGTAAGGAAAATCAGAGTTCAAGCAGCAACAAGGCTGACCACTGTCCTACACTAAATCTACTAGTGGAATTGCTGAAGTTCATTATACATGCACCTTTAAAGTAACTAGATGTTATCAAATTGAAATCCTCAGAGGTAGGTAGATTTATATTTTCACTAACAATGTAAAAGCTTTGTTTCTCTATAACTTGGTATAGATAAAGACTATTTCCACTCAGCCATTATGCTCAGTGTAAAAGTTCCTGGTGTTATCATGTGCTTTTCTTTGCTATGAAATTTAATATACTTTCTTGTTTATTAAAAATTCTACTTTTCTCTTTTATGAATTGTCTGTTCATTTCATTTACTCACTTTCCTTTGAAGGTGTCTGTCTTTTTCTTATAGAGTTAATGAAATACTTTATATATTCCATATATAAACATTTCTGAAGGAACACATAACTCAATATGAATTATCATATCAATATACTAAATATCATAACTGTACTCCTGAATATTTCTTTTAAAGATATAAAAGTTCTTTCTGCTTCTCACATTTAGGCTGTTCCTTCACCTGGATTTACTATGTTTGATGGAAGATAAAGTTCTAATTTTATTTCTTTTCAAGTGGAAAAATCAGCTTTACCAGCACCATTTATTGGCTAGTCCTTCCTTCCCCAGATATACCATGGTATTTCTATTGTGGATTTAGTGACCATAGAATTATGAATCTGCTTCTGGTTTCTATTTTTTTTTTACATTTTTTTCTATTCTAAAATCAATGCCAAAATCATGATTACAAAATCATAAAAGTTTGAATTAATAATATTTTCAATATTATTCAGTTGAAGTTATTTAATAATTCCCATATGGCTTTTCTTTTTCTACTCTTGGAGACATTGTGGTGAACTGTGAGGGTTTTTTTTTTTTTTTTTTCATTATTTCCAAGTGTATTCCATATTCCCAGGCTATATTTTTTAGTGATGACAATTAAAATGATGGAAATAGAAGAGATAATATTTATATTTTACATAGTTATATGATGAAAATAAATAAGAGAAGGATTCAGGAAAATTAAGGAAGAACAATAAAATGAAACACAGAGCATATACACAAATTACAGGAAACATATTAAATTCAAAGAAAATTTTGGAAGATCATCAATGATGAAGACTACAGAAAGATGATGAAAGCTTAGGACTGGAGACTGTAGAGGCCAGAATACAATGAGTGCAGGAGCAAAGAGAGTACAGGTTGCAGTTGGTAAAGTACTCTCTCCCTTTCCTAAATTTGTAAATCCCAATAAGAGAGATTGGAGAGTTCAAGCACTAAAAATCTAGAAACCAGCTAATATCAGTTAGATGCTGCTGTGTAATAAAAAGAAAATTCAGTAGCTTAAAGTAACAAGTATTCATTATGAGCCCAGAAGTCATGAGGCTAATATTGATAGACCTGACCTGGACTCTGTTTGATCTTGGCTGGATTTGTTCATGCATCTGTGGATTAGAAGGCTATTGGCTGATTTGGGCCACCTGGACAATTCAGCTTGACTCAGTGTTTCTCTTCTCCTCCAGGGACCACTGAACTACCCTGAGCTTGTCTTTCTAATATCAGTGGCAGGAATACAAAAGAGAAAACCCAAATGTACAAGCCAATTTCAGGGCATTGCATGTGAAATATTTCTTACTATCTCATTGGCCAGAGTATCTATCTAACATGTCTGAACTGGTTGACAGATAGTATAGGAGGTGACCCTACCCACAGTGCGAGGCATTACAGAGTACTTATGGTCTGGATATGCAAAATCCCAAAAAGTTCATGTGTTGAAAGGATGGTTATCAATATAGTAAGGTTCAGAGGTGGGACTTTAAGGCAAT